CACACACACACACACACACACACACACACACACACACACACACACACACACAGGCACACACAACAATGACAATGCAGTGATTCCAAAACAGGATAACACAACAGGCATTAAATCATCTCGTGCGCGGCTTCTCTCACCTCAATGAAGAAACCAAGAGCAGCGAGTCCGGTGGAGTCTTTGACAGCTAGACTTGTATTCCCATTGTAGGATGACTTGCTGTTCACAATATGCAGCTGGGAAAATTCATAAATTCGTAAAGATCATACAGATGTTTGTTTGTTTATTTTATTTATTTATTTTTTACAATTTAATATGTACAAGATAAAAGTACAAAATAAACGTTAAAAAAATCTGTACCTCCATAGGATAGCGCTTTCCATCCACTGTGTGCTCTGAGCCGGGCACAGAGGAGCCGTTACCCCAGTGCAAGTGAAACTGCAGGCTGTCGTATTGCTCGGACAGGTCCCCTCCTGAAATCTTAACTCCGCTCTTAAAGGTCACTTTGACTGGAAGAAGGAGGAAAAACAAAAACATGGTGAAGTTGCACATAACCTGAAAGAAGTAAGAAGAAATGTTCAGGTCCAAGGCAGTTTAATTGTAGAGAAGAGGGGGGCGCTGAAATCCAAGTAAGACATGTTGTCTTTTTTTTCTTTGTCAAATTATTATTACTATTATTATTATCTAAAAAACACGAGATGACACTTTTGTAGCCATACACCCGGTGCTTACCTGTGTCGCCAGTATTTTCTATGGATGTCATTGCGGAGGTGTCGTCATACTTTACAAAAGTGAATTTAGTCAGGTTGTTGTTCGGTGTGGCTGATGCTGAGACGATGTTAATGGGTGACTGTCGGCTGCCGTTGCAATACTGGGGGGAAATTGTTGGCCAGGTTTTGTCATCTATAAGAAGAAAGGGCACATAAAGTCACCGGAGAGCGGTCACCCAGTGGGCAACATGGAATAGATAATGGAGATATTGGGTACTTACTGCAGGATGGGAGGTGATAACACCAGACTGGATGAAAAAAAGATGGGGTTAAAACAGGACATTCAGATTCCCTTATGTAGACAAAAAGCTCTTAAGTGAATACACACCTATAGCGTCCGATGCGCAGTGAGCGGTGGGTAGGACGCACACAACAAACGCAACAACTTTAAACCACTCCATCTGAAAAGAGCAAAACGCCACATTGTTTAGAATCGCACATATTTAAAAAATGCATTAAATTAAATTAAAATACTTTTAAAAAATGTAAAACACAGAAATAAATGAATGAATTTATTAATTAACATGTTACTGTATGGAATGACAAATTTACATATATAAAAACTTTCACCATTCAATTCTAAAAATTAACTAATGCTAAAATTTCAAATGCTGCAGTTAATAGAGAAAAGAATGCAACAAATGCAGGGTTCTAACTGTAGCCTAATTCTTGCTTCTGACCACTTCACCTGTGCAGCACAGTGTCTTACCTTTGATGCACCTGTGCCTCCGTTCAGCCTGTTTTCAGATGCAGCTCACCTCACCCTCCCTCTTTTTATTCCCTCAGTGCATCCTGCAGCTGGCTGGACACCGCCTCCATGTGACATGTGAGTTGGTCTTTATCTCTCCGCAATAATTTCACTGAAGTACAACGGAGTATTAATGCGACATTGAGAAAAAAATACATTATCGATCATTTTGAGAATAAAGTCGAAATTTTTAGTTTAAAGTCGTAATTCTATTTTTTTAAAAAGTCGCGACGTATAGATTACACTCGTTATTTCAAGACAAAGTGGAATCATATTTCATAATCGGAAATACTTTTTCTTTTGGCACATTCACAAAGTGTGGGTGTCATTATAGGGAAGTTGAAAATATGAAGAAAACTACACCTTGGGCAGACGGAAAAAACACACAACTTTGGACAGAAAGGTTACGTAAAGGTTATTACAGCCTCGTGCAATAAATATGATGCATGTTTTATAACAAGACGTGTGATAAATTTAATCCAAACAAGGCATTTTGTAAAGGGTACAGCAAACTTTTTCTTCAAAATAGTTTCGACTTCAATCTCAAAATAATCAAAATGAAAGTTTTTCTTAATGTGGCCTTAATACTGCGTCGTGATGATTAATGATCTCTCTTTTTTCATTTATTGTTTTACACAAGCAGGAACTGTGCAGTGAACAAGAATGAAAACCGTTTGACAAAGAGGGAGATTGTTTTATCATCGGGTTTTTTTTTTTAATCATGTTCTATTTGTGTTTTCGTGTGATTGTGTCGATTCATGAATAATAAGACGATTTAATGCGACTCACTGCTAAAACAACATATCAGTCTTTGCCTTGGTAGGACTGTTCCTAGACACCCAGTAGATAATTCCAGACAGCATGTTTTCCATCATTCAGGAGCATTTATGCTTTGATCTGCATGATTTTTTTTCTTTTGTTTTTCTTGAAAGGTGATAGGTGTGAATGCATGACAGTTAAGTGCAGGTGACAGCTTGGGTTTTGAGTATAGATCCATCA